TGCTTATCAGCTAACTAGATATCAAATTGTGATTGCATGTCTTTTAAATTTTGATCTATCATTTCTACATCGACATTCTTCGATTAATTTAATTCAACGCCCTCATTTTCGTTCATTATATTGTGCACTATAATGTAATATAAACATGTTGTCGGCAATTGTTTGATTTTGATTTTATTTTTATTTCTTTCCCATAACGATGAAACTTATTGAAATCTCTACATTTTTAATATTAACTAGGTCCATGAGCCTCTTATAGGTTTTACAGCTAGTTATGTCTATATACCCACGAAGATTATGTGCCTCCTTAATGTGACCATCTTTATTTTTTGCTCAATTTTTCTTTTGGAGATTTTTATCTCAAAATCAAATTTCATCATTCTTTAGACTTATCATAGATTTATCAAATATAATATTAATGAATTTTCCTTCTGGAATGTCAATTTGAGCCGGAACATTTACAACTATTATATAAAATTTGATTATTCCCTTTTCATCTCAGTAAAAGTATGTTGCAATTATGGCGGTTGTGATGATAGAAATAGGTGATGATAGTAATGACAATTTTGGTGGTAGAATTGATGATTTCTTTGTGGTGCGACAGTGACAATGATGGTGTACTGTGAATGTTACAATTGGTGGTAGTGTAACAATAAATATTACAGTGGTGTGGTCGACGATGGTGGTATAACAATAAATATTACAAGTTGTGGGATCGGCGACGACGAATTTACATTGAATTCTATAAGTTGTTGCAGTAGTAGCGACTGTGGTGACTATGGAAATAAGTGCAAAAATGCGTGCAACACACTTGTTACAAGTGACGGCGATGACGATAACGATGAATGCAGATGGGGGTCATAAAATCTATGTAATAGAATTTTACAATGTAACACATTCCGAAACATAATTTTACAATATGTAACCCATTTTCAAAATTTATTGTAAAATAATTAAAAAAAAAAAAAGACTAAAAAGTATTTCAAAGTAAATAAGAAATTAGTAAATTCTTTAAGAGTGTTTAGGAATCATTTTCTATTTTTTACACAAATCTCTACTATAGTGAATGTTACTATTAATATATTTTCTTACTATTTTTATTTAATTACATTCAACCTAACATATCAAGCCTAGGGCTGAACAATGAAACCGCCAAACCGTCAAACCGAACCGAAACCCTTTTTTTGAAACTGTTGGTTTGGATTTACGTGGATCCGTCAACGTTTTGGGTTTGAACCGAACCAAACCGCTTTGTAGTGGTTTAGTTTAAGTTTTAATTTTTGTAAACCGTTTCAAAAAGCCAAACTGCTTACAAAAAATAAAAAAAAAAAATCAATTTTAAATTTAAATTTTATTCAACCTAATTAAAACCAAATGCATTCCAATTAAAAGATACCTTCATACTAGACCCAATCCAATTAAACTCAATACCCGAATTAACTAAATGCCCAATTAGAGAATTACCCATCTCAAATTTAAAATTTAAATCCAATCTTTAATCCTTTAATACGTAATACTTTCAATTAACTTCTAGGTTATTTCTCCCTCTTTCAAACTCTAATAATAAAGGTGCGTGAATTTCTACTATTTATATTTT